ATTGGCAGAGAAAGTTCATCCAGATTTCCCAGCGTGGTCCCCCCTTGTCAGTGATGCAGAACGGAGGGCCTGACAAGGCAGCTCTCTAGTCGTTCGGATGGGACAAAAAACCGAGGTCCCGTGTATACATTGGCGTGCACGTGCAAAATTTCCTTCATAGCACACTGTATGGCGTATGCCCGTCTTCATTAGTCCAGTTCGGAGCAGAACAGTAGGACGTTAAACCACCTTTCATTTCATTTCATTTCCACGACATTTTCGACATTTTCCTGCCATTTTTTAGTTATTTTCCGATATTTTCATATCATTTTCTCATCTGTCCCGTTTTTCAACTTCTAGATCCGTATTTTAAACTTCCATATTTTTTTGGCCTGGGTGCACTGTTACTCAATGTATATACCTATATAACTTCGAGTTTTGATCGATTTTAATAATCCCCTTTACTTGTTGAGATTCTTTATATAACCCATGACATGTGACAGAAACTGGCCGTCAATATGAAAGCTTTAATATCTGCCTAGCAGATCTAGTTATTATTATTTTTTTTTTTTTTTTTTTTTTTGTGTGTGTGTGTGTGTGTGTTTTCTGCAAATCGGATTTCTCAGAATATAACCATAGGGTATTTCTGAAACTTTGACCTACCCCTTCCCCCCCCGCCCAAAAAAAAAAAATGGGTGGTGAGTATTGTTTAAATATATTTTCAAAACGTTTTAAGAATTCGAAATCACCGAATTTTACGAACGAAAAAACTAACAATGCATAGTCGTAACTTTGTTGTTTATTGACCTATTTTACTCATTCTTTTTTCTTTGAGTACTTCACTAAAGGCATTTTCACCTGCAATTTTCGAATTTCGAAAATTTGTCGCTGTGATTTCGTTCCGGAAGTTAAGACCAATTTGACAACTTCTTTAATAGTTGCGCGCGCGATTCTCATAAAATTTGGAATGTAAGTAGATCTGGCCAATGCGACTTCAAATATGTTATTAGAAATTTTCTAAATCATCTCCCCATGGAGAAATTAAGGATCAAAGTTTTTAAAAAATCGACTAAATATAGGCCAGATTGGCTTGAATTTTTTTTCTGTACTAGATGAAGAATTCCTGATGAGTACACAAGATATGAAGTCTATCAGTGCCACCATCTTGAAACGTGAAAAATCCTTCAGGCTTTTGCGATATTATACTTACAGACATGGGAGTTACTTTTTCTGAATCCTTGAAGGAATGCCTAAAAAACGTTCCGAACAGAATTTTGATTTCGATCAACTGATGGTCTCCATCATCTCTTATTTCTGAAATTAAAACATTTCAGGATAGCCCGGGATCAAGGTCGAATTTTGTGTGTTTGAAAATTTTTTAAATTTCGAATTTCGCCTTTGACCTTTTACGTGCCGACAAAGTTGCTAACAGAAAAATTTATGTCTTTAATTTTCAAAATTTACAAATTTAACCTAAATATTCGAACAGCTGAGGTCAATCTGATTCAAAAAATATTAGTTCCGTTCAAAGTTATCTCATTTAATTTTTCGATATTTCCCTGCCTTTTTTTAGTTCTTTCCCGCCATTTTCATTTCACCTTCTCATCCGTCCCGTTTATAAACGGCTTGATCCATTTTTCTGAAACTTCTGGAACGGGAAGTCATTCCGATTACAGCAATACAAGTTTCAGTTATTTCCCTTTAGTTTTCAGATTATTCTTCCGGCCGGCTGAAATATTTGTCGCTATATTTAGGATGATATGTTCGCGAGTTTTTGACCGATTTTAATAATCATTTTTCTTTGTTGAGATTCCTTTTGTAACCCATAACATGTGACAAGAAGTGACCGTGAATATGTAAAAACGGGAAATTTTACCTGGTTGAAATATTTAGTACCTTTATACTTTAGTCAATGATACTTTTATCTTTTTGACAAAGTCAGTAACACCTGACGTGAAGTGATGTCTGTTTGAAACGTTTCCCTTTTAACCCGGTCAGATTTTAACTGATTTGGTTTTATTAAAGTCACGTTATTCAATTTAATTTTTTTTAAACTGCAGAAATTTGAAATCAGGTCAAATGTTGATCACGAACGATTATCTTGGACATTAGTTGCTTATTTTGAAAGATTTATCAAAATCGGTTGGTAACGAAACATTCTCTGCAACTTATGAAATGTTAAACGGAAAATTTTCCCCGGTTGAAATGTTTCTCGTTATAACTCGGCGCCTTGTTTGGGCGATTTTAATATTTCCTTTTTGTTTTAAACATTCTTGACAACATCAGTAACATCCGGCGTGAAGTGATGCCTTGTTGAAATATTTCTCGTTATAATTCAGTCACTTGTTGGCTAATTTGTTTATTAAAGTGACACCATTCAATTCATTTTTCTAAAAAAAAGTGCAGAACTTTCAATTCCGGTCAAACGTTGATCGCAAACGATTAAGCTGGTCAGTGGCAACCCTTTTTACAAGTTTTGTTATAATCTGTTGGTAATCAAAGGTACTGTGCAAATTAAACTGTTAAAACAGAAAATTTTGCCTGGTTGAACTGTTCCTCGCTATAACTCAGCAAGTTTTTTTTTCTGTACTAGATGCAGAATTCCTGATGAGTACACAAAATATGAAGTTTATCGATACAACCGGAAGTGCCACCATCTTGAAACGTGAAAAATCCCTCAGTCTTTTGTGAAATTTTACTTACAAACATGGGAGTTACATTTTCTGAATCCTTGAAGTAATGCCTAAAAAACGTTAAGGGCAGAATTTTGATTTAGGTCAATTGATGGTCACCATTTAAAGTGAATATGAAAAATATTAAAAAATCTACATTAACGGGCTTATAAATAAAGACAATCGACTGTAGTATGTTCAATGCGTCTCCTATTTCTGAAATTAATACATTTCAGGACAGCATGGCTCATGGTCTGATTTTTGGTATTTGAATATTTCAAAAATTCGAATATTACATAATTGACATGTCAACCAACATGACAACTTCTTGAATATTAGATATGTCCTAACTTATCTCTCCTTGGAGAAATTAAGGATCGACGTTTTTTAAAAAAAATCGACAAAATATATATCAGATTGCCTTGAATTTTATTTCTGTTCTAGTTAAGATATTACTGGTGCGTACAGAAAATATGAAGTCTATCAATCGAACGGAAAGTGCCACCATCTTGAAACGTGAAAACTCCTTAAGGATTTTGCGATATTTTACTTACAGACACGGGAGTTATATTTTCTGAATCCTTGAAGGAATGCCTAGAAAACGTCTGGAGCAGAATTTTGATATACGTCAACTGATTGTCTTCATTTTGAATTGAATATGAAAAATAGTGAAAAATCAATATTAAAGGGCTAGTAAACAAATACAATAGGCCATAGAATGTTCAGTGCGTCTCCTATTTCTGAAATTAATACTTTCAGAAGAGTCTGGCTCATGGTCGAATTTTTGGTACAAGTTTCAGTTATTTCCCTTTAGTTTTCAGATTATTTTCTGCCCGGGTGCAATATTTCTCACTATATTTAGACATGTAACTTCGCGAGTTTTTGGCAGATTTTAATAATTATTTTTACTTCTTCTTCTTTCTTTTAAGATACTTGATATAATCGATGACACGTGACGATGACTATGAAAGCTTTCATATCTGCATGGGACAATAGCAGATCTAGTTATTAAGATTTCAAATGAAAGCTTATTGTTTCTGTTAAGATTTTTACGCTTTCATATTTCATATGAAAGCTTATTTTTTCTGTTAAGATTTTTATTATTATTAAGCTTTCATATGAAATATTGTTTCTGTTAAGATTATTATTAAAGGTCACCGGAAAGGTTCATAATTTTTTTAAATAATGCAAGTAATTATGTCAAGATATGCTTTCCATAAGTATAACACGAACCCGAAATTAGTAATTTCCGCCATTCTCCGTAGGTAGCCGTAACTTTCCGTAAATAAACAATCTGTGACGTCATTTTAGTCCTTCTGCTCATATTATAGTCTATATTTCTATGTGCAGAAGCACTAAAATGACGTCACGGATTGCATATTGTTTCTGTTAAGATTATTATTATTAAGCTTTCATATCTCTCTCTCTCTCTCTCTCTTGAAACATTTACTTTAAATCTGCTATTTTCAAGCGTCATTGACATTTATTTCGGAAGTAAAAACGAATTTGGCAACTTCTTTAATATTAGCACAATTTTCATGAAATTTGGAATAAATTTGAAACCGTGTCTCCCCTTGGAGAAATCAGGGTTCAAAGCACGATTTTCATGATATTTGGAATGAAAGTAGATTGGTTCATTTAACTCGACAAAGTTATTTACGAGTGAAAAATCTGCATTAACGGCTTGGAAATACTCGGAATAAGCCGCCGTTTCGTGAATTGCTTTCCTATTTCCGAAGGTTAATTGCACGACATGTGAATATTTGACCTATTTTACATATTCATATTTCTTTGTTTACTTTGAAACATTTACTTTAAATCTGCTATTTTCGAACGTCATTGACATTCATTTCGGAAGTAAAACGAATTTGAATACTTCTTTAATATTAGCACGATTTTCATGAAATTTGGAGTCTCCCCTTGGAGAAATGAGGGATCAAAGCACGATTTTCTTGATATTTGGAATGAAAGTAGATTGATTCATTTAAGTCGACAAAGTTATTTACTAGTGAAAAATCTGCATTAACGGCTTGGAAATACTCGAAATAAGCCGCCGTTTCATGAATTGGTTTCCTATTTCCGAAGGTTAATTGTACGGCATTTATATTTATCTTAATTTTTAAAACTTACAAACTTGATCTAAATATTCGAATAGCTGAGGTCAATCCGATTCCCAAAATATAAGATTCATTATAAGTTATCTCAGTTTATTGTTCGATATTTTCTCGGCATTTTTCCAGCCATTTTCTACTCATTTTCAGATTCTTCTGGGTTTTAAACTTCTGCAACGGAAAGTTAATCCGCTTTCAGCAATACGGTCTCAGCAATATATTTTTATATTTAGATTACCTTCTGGCCAGGGGGAATGGTTCTCGTTATATTTTAGCAGTCTATTAGTTGACTCGACTTCACTCTTCAGCCCGTTTCAATACTTGCTACGTTAAAGTTTAGCAACCTAAAATTTAAAACGTAGACAGATATCCAGATCACATAGCCATCGCCGGTAATTATATCGATAATTCACCTTTTAACCTAATTCAAGTGGTCTGGGGATATTAGACTGAACCTCGTTCAATGGGCGGGGGGGGGGGAGTAAATTCTCCGATATAAAACCTATTCAATATGTTATATTCGAATAGTTTCTGACATTTTTGGGGGTTTCATATTTGCGTAATATTGTCCATAGCATGGATTTGATTTTGTCTGATATATGGAAACACCCGCTGTTCCAGCCAGGTGACTTTATTCTAGCTCTTTGAACTATAGAAATATCTTTCAAGTTTTAAAATAAGAAAATGAAATGATCCGTATTTTAAACTTCTGGAATGGGGAGTCAATTCGATTACAACAATGCAAGTCTCGGTTATTTCCCTATATTTTCCCAAAAAAATTAGCCCGGGTGCAATGTTATTCACTATATACATGTATACGCATAAATATCAGCATTTTCTAGCGTCGTTTCCCCTTGTCAGTGGTACAGAACGGAGGCCCGGACAAGAACAGCTGTCTAAACGTCCGGATGGGCCGATTAACTGAGGAACCGTCTATAAATTGGGGTCCATGTTAAAGATCCCTTGGCAGTTGGAATTCGATATAAGAGTAGGCCATAGTGCCGCTGCCAGGGCAAAATTTACCTCATAACATCCTGTATAGCGTATGCCTGTCTTAATTACCCCAATAGAAGCAGAACAGCAGGACGTTAAAGCCCATTTCAATTCATATTAAAAACCGTGCAATTTAGGGTTGTATAATTTTCCAAATAATCATGCTACGACACAATTTACTTGCGCGTCATTTCCCTGCCATTTTTGAGTTATTTCCCGACATTTTAATTTCATTTTCTCATCTGTCCCGTTTCTGAACACCTAGATCCGTATTTTAAACTTCTGGAACGGGGAGTCAATTCGATTACAGCAATACAAGTCTCAGTTATTTACCTTTATTTTCAAGATTTTTTTTTTTTTTTGTTTTGCCCGGGTGCAATGTTACTCATAATATATACGTATATAACTTCGAGTTTTGATCGATTTTAATAACTCCTTTTCCTTGTTGAGATTCTTTATATAACCCATGACATGTGACAGAAACTTACCGTGAATATGAAAGCTTTCATATTTGCCTAGCAGATCTAGTTATTAATTTTTTTTTATTTTTTTTTTCTCAGAATCTAACCATGGGATCTTTCTGAAACTTTGACCTACCCCCCAAAAACGGGTGGCGGCTGTTGATTAAATATATTTTCAAAACGTTTTACAAATTCGAAATCACCGAAAATGACGAACGAAAAAATTGACAATGCGTAGTCGTAACTTTGTGGATTATTCGCCTATTTTAATAATTCTTTTTTCTTTGAGTACCTTCAAAAAAAAAATCATTTTCATCTGCAATTTCAGATTTTCGAATTTCGAAAATTCGTCTGTGATATAGACCCGGGAGTTGAGACCAACTTGACAACTTCTTTAATTTTTGCACGATTTTGTTGAATTTTGGAATGTAAGTAGATCTTACTGATCCGACATGAAAGATGTCATAAGAAATTTTTTAACTTATCTCCCTTTGGAGAAATAAAGGATCACAATTTTCAAAAAAAATCGACGAAATATAGGTCAGATTACCTTGAATTATTTTTTTCTGTAATAGCTACGACACTGCTGATTCGTACACAAAAAATGGAGTTTGTAGGTCAATCCGGAATCGCCACAATCCTGAAATGTTAAATATCCATAAGGCTTTTTTGATATTTTACTTACAGACAAGGGAATTATATTTTCCTTACAGACAAGGGAATTATATTTTCCTTACAGACAAGGGAATTATATTTTCCGAATCCTTGAAGGAAAGCCCATAAAATTTAGGGCTTAGAATTTTGATTTCTAGCAAATGCTGGGCGCCATTTTGAATTGAAAATGAAAAATAGTGAAAAATCCACATTAATGGGCTTGAAAACATACACAATAGGTCGTGGTTTAGAGAATCCGTCTCCTTTTACCGAAATTATTACATTTATGGATAGCCCGGCTCAGGCACGAATTTTAGGTATTTCGAATTTCGACTTTGACGTTTTTCGTGCCGACAAAGTTGTTTACAGGACAATTTCTTTCTCAAGATTCTGTCAAAGCTTTTATCCAAGAATCTAATCTTTGGATCTTTCTAAATCTTTAACCTGTCTCCCAGAATGGATGTTGACTTTGGAATACATATTTTCGAAACGCTTTATAAATCCGAAATCACCAAAGGTTAATGACGAAAGAATTAAACTACATAGCTGTAACTTTGGGAATGTTTGACCTATTTTACATATTTATATTTCTTTGGGTACTTTGAAACATTTACTTTTAGTCTGCTATTTTCGAACTTCAAAAATTACGTCATTGACATATTATTTCGGAAGTAAAAACGAATATAACAACTTCTTTAAAATTAGCACGATTTGCATGAAATTTGGAATAAAAGTAGACCTGATTCATTTCACTTAAACGATGTCTTTAGAAATTTTCTAACTTTTCTGCCCTTAGAGGGATCAAAGCACGATTTTCTTGATATTTGGAATGAAAGTAGGTTGATTCATTTAACTCGACAAAGTTATTTACGAGTGAAAAATCCCCATTAACGGCTTGGAAATACATGGAATAAGCCGCCGTTTCGTGAATTGGTTTCCTATTTCTAAATATTCGAATAGCTGAGGTCAATCCGATTCCAAAAATATAAGATTCATTACAAGTTATCTCAGTTTATTGTTCGATATTTTCTCGGCATTTTCCCAACTATTTTCTACTCATTTTCTGATCCTTCTGGGTTTTATACGACTTAATCGATTTTGCAACGGAAAGTAAATCCGATTCCAGCAATACGGCCTCATCCTTTTGGCCAGGACTTCACCCATCAGCCGTTTCAATACAGATATCCAGATCATAAAGGCATCGCCGTTAATTATATCGATAATTCACCTTTTAACCTAATTCAAGTGGTCTGGGAATATTAGACTGAACCTCGTAAGTGTCGTAATCTGGTGGGGAAAAGTAAATCTCCGACATAAGACCTATTCAATATGTTATATTCGAACCGTTTCTGACATATTTGGGGTTTCATGTTTGCGCATTGGTTTTGATTTTGTCTGATACATAATGTCCCAGCCAGGTGACTTTATTCTAGCTCTTTGAACTACAGAAATATCTTTCAAGTTTTAAAATAAAAAAGTGAAATGATCCGTATTTTAAACTTCTGGAACGGGGAGTCAATTCGATTACAGCAATACAAGTCTCAGTTAGTTCCCAGTTTTATTTTTTTGCCCGGGTGCAATGTTACTCACTATATATATACGCATAAATATCAGCATTTTCTAGCGTCGTTTCGCCTTGTCAGTGGTACAGAACGGAGGCCCTGACAAGAATAGCTGTCTAATCGTTCGGATGAGCCAATCAACTTAGGACCCGTCTATAAATTGGTGTCCACGTTAAAGGTTCCCTGGCAGTTGGAATTCGATATAAGAGTAGGCCATAGTGCCGCTGCCCGGGCAAAATTTCCCTCATAGCATTCTGTATAGCGTATGCCTGTCTTATTTAGCCCAGTAGAAGCAGAACAGCAGGACGTTAAAGCCTATTTCATTTCATATTAATAACCATGCAATTTAGGGTTGTATAATTTCCAAATGATCATTCCACGACACAATTTACTTGTTCGTCATTTTCCTGCCATTTCATTTTCTCGTGTGTCCCGTGTTTCAATATTTAGATCCGTATTTTAAACTTCAAGAACGGGGAGTCAATTCGATTACACCAATGCAATTCTCAGTTATTTCCATTTAATTTCCAGATGTTTTTGCCAGGGTGTCGGTGCACTGTTACTAAATATATACACGTATATAACTTCGAGATTTGATCGATTTTAATAATTCTTTTTCCTTGTTGAGATTCTTTATATAACCCATGACATGTGACAGAAACTGACCGTGAATATGAAAGCTTTAATATCTGCCTAGCAGATTTAGTTAGGATTAGTTCTCAGTGCCTGTAACAGATACCGATCTGGAACCTAATTTTCGACCGGGAAACCATGGCGACCTTCGGTTATAATTTTTTCACGACTAGTGGTCGGAACTAGAAACCGAACGCGAATGGTCCGGACCATCGTCTGTTCAAAGATGGCTGCCCCCAGGGACATGGTGATGACATTTTACTTTGCTTTAGACCTAGAGCATAACCCTGAAAAAAAAACTTAACCCTAAGGAAGGTCTATACATCTCTCCTTGGAGGATAATGAATCGCTGTGTTACATAGTTTCATAAACAAATAATACTTTCATGAAGTTAAATTTGCGCGAATCAAACTAATTTTAGAGACGACAAAATTCCTTGTAACTTGACTTTACTTTTTGCATAGCGCAAATATTGAAATAATGCGTAATTTTTAGATTTACATAGATTCAGACATAACATACGAGACAAAATTATCTGCTCATAGACGTAGCAACCATTTAAAATACATTCAAGCTTTCTTAAAATCATATACTTAACAAAAATAGTTATTCTTTCTACATATTCTACACTTTCGTTTCCTTGACACCGCCATCTTGGAACTACTCCGACCATGCTACAATAGCATGGTTCAGTATTTTCGGACTATGGTCCGGTCTAAATGAAATTCGGATTCAGTTAGTTCGATCATAGTCAAGAAATCACGATAACCGAAGGTCGCCCATGTGGTGGCTACTTGATAAACTATTTTGAAACTTCTGCGCAGACCGGAAGTGGCCGAAATGGCCAAAATCAAAAAGCGACCGTAGTTTCCTCAATTCTTGGCCTATTTTGAAACCAATGACATTTTTGGAAACCCTGTAACTTTTCCTGGAAGATAGCAGTTGAATATTTCGAAATTTCGAAACTTCGTCGCAGTCATTTTACGTCCGAAATTTTAAAAAAAAAGTTGTTTAAGAGATAATTTTGGTTATTTTTCCAGATTGTCAAGTTTGACTTACATATATGAATACCTGAAGTGAATTCGATTCCAGCAATATAGGTTTCATTCAGAGTTATCGCCATTTATTTTCGAATTTTTTCGAATTTTCTGCCCATTTTATAACCCTTATATTTTTGGGAAAGTCTCAATCGATGTTTCTGAAACTCCTGGATCATACAGCCATATGGTCAAACTGTTGCATAAAGCAATTCTAACAACGATCGTTAAACGGGAAGTAGTCAAAATAATGTCCGATTTTTGAAAATAACGCAAAAATTGGATGCTTTTGGGGAAAACGCGATTTCTCCATCCCATATCAAGCGATTAAACAAATTAAGGTATCTTTGGGTGGAACGAGGATTGGACTGGCGTATCATACCCAATTAATACGGATACGATGATCAGGAAACAAAATATGACACGCTGAAAATCAAGTATTTTCTGATTTGGAGGGGTTTGGGACGCCAGTATCTCCAAAACTGCTCCAGCGGTTTCTCTTAAACTTTCTCTATCGTGAAACCCTTCGGTAGTGTTGTACATGAAGACGTTCAATAGGACTTTGAAATTACTGGAATAGGAGAAAAAAGGGACTAAAAATCGAAAAAAGGGACTAAAAATCGAAAAAAGTCGAAAAATCGTTAAATTTTGGAAAATGCTCAATTATTTTTTTATTTCTATAGATTTTCAAAAAGGATTTATATATATAGCTGTTCTAATGTCAATTCTAATAATGTATAATATGTATTCAGTAATTGACATTTAATTTTCGATATTTTGACATTTTTGCATTTATGGCACATTTGAACATGGGATTCCTCATGGTGATTTCATCGGATCAGATAATGTAATATATCATTATAGAGCCCTGCGACCATTCAATTGCCCAAACCGGTTATTAAAACTATCCCGACAACGATCTCCATACCGGAAGTATTCAAATATTGAAAAAAGGGTAAACAATAGACTGTCATATGACATCTAAATGATACGATTTCAATGGTTAGGAAATAAATTATTGTACGCCGAAATCTAGTATTTTCCGTTTTGGAGACTTTTGAGACGCCTTTTTCTCGAAAACGACACCTACGATTTTTCTTTAAAAAATTTTACTCAGAGTCCAAAGGGTGGTCTATGGCGTGAATCCAAAAATGAAAAGCATTGAAATAATATAGGTGGTCCAAAAAGGGCCTCAATATTTTTAAAAAGTTGAAAAATCTTTAAATGCTCTTCATTTTTTTTTTTTTTTTTTTTTTTTTTTTGTTGAAAATAGCTCAATAGATGTTTCTGACATTTCTGGTAAAGAAAGTTAAGTATCCACACAACTTGATAAAACTATCTCAACAATTATCCAAAAACCGAAAGTAGTCGAAAAAATATCCGATATTTTGGAAGAAAAAAAACGTAAAACGTAAAATATGGTGCTTTTGCGAAAAAAGTGATACCTACGTCAGATTTCACCGAACCAAAACAACTAAAGTGGAAAGCCCGAATAATGGACGATCTTATGACATCCAAATGATACAAATTCGATGGTTAGGCTATAGATTATGAAACGCTGAAAATCTAATATTTTCCTTTTTGGAGCCCATTCAGAGGCTTTTATCTCGAAAATTCTGTTACTCAGAGTCCTATCGGTGGTATAGGGTATGAATCCAAATTTAATAGCCTCAATATGATATAAAGGGTTGAATAAGGGCCTCAATCTTTGAAAACAAAGTCGAAAAATCGTTAAATTACTGAAAATGCTCTTC